ATTAAGTTTTAGTGAATTTTAAACTAGTCATTAAAGATTTCTGCGTCAATAACTTTCGTTCAAGGACTCGTAAAATACTCTTTCATACTTTAGCAATGTTCTAGGATAAAATCAATTTCTCTGAGATGGTTAAGAGCGGTAAAAATCTACCTACGTTCGATGAAAAAACATCAAACTACAATGGAACTTAACGTAAGAGTGTAATACGTACATGTTATGGAGAGAAGAGAGTTGGAATGTAGGATTTTTTAACTGACGTGATTCGTAGTTGTCGAGGTTGTTTGCGTTTTCCATCTTGTATCCAACTTTCTGAGTAGGATACGCTTAAAAATCTACGTTAAAACACCATTCTATTTCACAAAAATGAGTTCCAGTTATGGGTGGATGGTGAGCGTGGCTGTTTTCCTTACTTGGTTTATTTGTTACTTCTCTCTGTATCAGCGAAGACAATGAAATTTATGTATGAAATAAGATTGCACTCATAAGTGAATCGAACGATGGAAAATGATTGGCAGGCAGTTTCAAAATTTATGTGGCGTTATGGTCTATAATATTGTAGACGAGCCATCAAAACTTTCTCTGTCATCTATTAGCATACCTGAAGACAAAGAAACATATGTGAAGCGTTGAACGACAATCGTGCACTATCTGAAATTACTATGTGATAGACGTTATGCTACAATGTCATTCATTTATTGTTCAAATGTTTGAGTTATTAATCTGGGTAGGAAAGGATATTGAATAACAGAAAGTGAACAAAAAATCGAGCACTGCCCGACCCATTATGTTTGTTGAGGACAATGTGGATTCAAGACCTTTCGTCCGTCAGTTTTTGTCGAATACTCTTTTATTTTAAAAGAAAGAAGTATGTTTGCGTTAATTTTGTGTTGCTATTTGTATTACTATTTACCATAATTCAGTCCATCCTCGCCGTGGCCAGAGGCCCCTAATGGTGTTTGCCTTATGCCTTCTCAGCTCTTCCCAGCTGAATTCTCTCTCCCCCATCTCTTTTTCAATTTCCAGGTATAAGATTAATAGCAGATTTTATCGCGACGATGTCCTTTACGCACAGCTTTTTTTCAATTTACCCGTGACAAATTTCCCGCGAAATTTTCTAACGACAATTTACTCATGACACGTGACCCGCGAAAATTGGTCACTCCTTTTCCTGTAAAACTTGAACTAAAAATTAAAAACAAGGGGAAATAATGAGATCGTTATTTTCTCTTGATGAAAGCAATTTATTTAAGGGACTATTTGTTGCACTATTATTACCCTATTGTTACCCTATTTGTTAACCTTTGCTACTCTACTAGTAGCAGTATGCAAGACGCTTGCCATATATAAACTTCGTAATGGGCCTAGCACAGCAAAGAGTCTCTGTGGCTCAATGGTAGAGCATAGGAGCGCGGAATCCGAAAGTTTGAGGTTCGATTTCTCATGGGAACTCGGAATTTTTTCTTTACCCCACGCTCGTGACAAGACGAAAAAAAAAACGTCTTTCTCTATTTCTTTAGCGAGCTCAAAACCTTACCATCTTTCCTATTCTACTCGTTACCCTGTGGGTGTGTTCCAAATAACTTAGCTCAAAAGGTTTAGGCATAAGGTTTTTTATGGAGGAGAAACTCAACTTCCTCTTTTATTAAAGGGGGAAAGTTTCTCAAGACACTGTGGTGCTGTGTAGGTGGTAGATTATAACAGGGTAATTTAGCATTATCAACTGAGTTGATATCTTAAATTGGCTAACGTAAAGAGTTTTACAACTGACGTTTAGAGCGTTAGCCCTTCGTCAGAGCAAATAACGAAGTACTTACGCTCGAAACGTCAGCCTAAAACTCTCTATGGTGGCCAATTTACCTTATCAACTCAGTTGATAATGCTAAATACTAATAAACCTTATTACCTCCCTTACTTTCCGCTGAGTATCATTTAATTAGTTCCGGATATGAAAATCATTATGCAGTCCATGGAAAACTTACGAGTGCAACGGAAATGACAAAGTATTCTCGAAAATCAATGTAAGTTTTGTTTTCCAGCACGTGTTAGGGGCAGCAAATTTTAAAATTGTCAATTGAGCCATTCGTCAAAATAAAGATATAAAAGGAATTTCTATCGAGAATGAGGAAACAAAGCTCTTGCAATACGCGGATGACACTACTGCAGTGCTCTCGGATATGGACTCGGCCAAAACTTTATTTGAATTGTTGGATGTTTTTAAGGACGTTTCTGGTCTTAAAATTAACTGCACAAAAACTGAGGGTATGTGGATCGGAGCATCCTAAGAAAACAAAACAAAACCGTTTGGAATTAAATGGCCAACCGAACCAATAAAAACTCTTGGACTATATTTTAACTATGACCTAAAACTGCTCAAAGAAAAGAATTTCATCGAAAGACTGGATAGTATTAAAAAACTTATCAACATTTGGTCTTCAAGAGGTCTTTCAATCTCTGGTAAAGTGACAATAATAAAATCCTTTCTAATTCCAAAATTTGTTTATGTATGCTCACTTCTGCCTACACCCAACGAGATGGTGAAACAATTGAATTAATTGCTTTTCAAATTCTTGTGGAAAGGAACAGATAAAGTAACGCATCTGTCAACAATAAATGATTATGGGGAAGGTGGATTAAAAATGATTGATTTAGAGAGCATGGTTAAAGCTCTGAGATTGGCATGGCTTAAACGAATAATTAACGCAAATGATGGAACATGGAAGCGGTACTTACAACACCAATTGAAAACATTTGGAGGACTGTTCTTTTTTAATTGTAAATATGATGTTAACGATTATACAATCACTTCCCAGTTTTATCGATAGCTTCTTCTATGGTGGTCACAATTTCGTGAAACTTTCGCTACAGACTTGAATTGAACAAATATTATTTGGAATAATAAAGAAATTAGAATAGATAAAAAGCCTATCTATTACAAAAAATATTTTGACTCCGGAATCATTCACATCCACGATCTCCGGCTCGATTTGAATATTAATGATTCCTTCAGTTACGTTTCAAATAAAATTAGAAAAATTAGCTTTCTACAATGGGCAGGTCTTCGACACTCAATGGTGATCGTGATTATATCTATACACTAACGCCTTCTTCGCTTCAAATAAATAACAATATTTTTGATGTGAAGAAAAAGAAATCGAAAGATTATTATTCCTTACTTGTTATGAAGAAATCACAGCCTCCTAATATTGTTCATAAATGGAGAAGCGACTTTAATATCTCAGATGATCTATTGAGGGAATATTTCATTTTACCTCACTCTGTTGCACTTGAATCATATGTTAAGGCTTTTCTGTATAAAATCCTTAACAATATACTCTATACAAACACGAAATTGTGTAAAATTGGCTTTAGAGCTGATTACTTATGCACTTTCTGCGAAGCTGAGCGAGAAACGCTATATCACCTGCTTTATCAATGCACTTACGCAAGACAGTTCTGGAATGATTTCGAATTGTACTGATTCCGCTTGTCAAATCAGGTAGTTCACCTGACTTTGGAAAATGTTTTATTTGGAATGCTTTCAACACAATGCCCTTCACATACACTACTCAATTACTTTATTATTATCGGAAAACTGTTTTTGTGGGACTGCAGAAGAAAACAAATACACCCTAAAATACAAGGTTATCAGAACAAGATAGCTATCAAATATGAAATTGAAAGAAAAATAAATAAGAAAAACTTCTTTGAAAAGAAATGGATTTTCAAATGAAAAGGAATGGTTAATAATTTAAAAAATCTTGAGCCGATTTGCCTTCTATCCTGTTTTCTCTCTCTCTCTTTTTTTTTTTACGTTATGTTGCTTGGTTTAATTAGTTTAATTTGTTTAATTTCTTAAGCTGAAAATAGGGTAACTGCGTAAGATTGTTAGACATATCGAATTGTTATCATTTTTAACCTATTTTATGAATGTAAAATTGTAACTGTGTAAATGAAAGGTCAGAATAAAATTGTTTAGCCGGGCACTGCTCCATTGATAGCTCTGTAGATCAGTGAAAGAATTTTATAAACTATAAAGTGACGGACATGAAGCCAGTGGATCTCCTTTAGGATAGAGGTCATGTGATCAAATTTCCTAGTACGTGCAACAATTCGAGCTGCTGTATTTTAAACGGATTGCAATCTTGAAAGCAGACGCTGAGGTAGACCATATAGCAGTGAGTTGCAGCTATCTAATATTGAAGCAATAAGGGCGTGAACAACAATTTTCTTCTTCAATGTACGTTCTAATTTTAACGACTACTCAAACATACAAACCATACACTGCAACGCACGTTTTTTCGTACCCATTATCGCCATAACCCCATTTGAACAAGTCCTCACTGTACCAGATTTGGAATTCTTGGTTCGTCTCCACCGTCAGGGTGGTAGACAAATTATCAAAAAGCAGTTGTGGCGATTCGGTTGTGGCCCAAGGCAGGCTGTAAAACTTGCAGTCCCGATAATCTGATAGGAAATTACTCTTTGGGAGAAGAAGATTACGGTTTTTGTCAGTTATCAACGTGGCCATTTGGTTGGGAATGAGACGGTTCCAAAGGCATCCCCATTTGGAGTGAAAACTTGACTTTTGTGCATCACAGGTGACGTAACCAGATCTGTACGTTAATTTGAATGTAATGACGTTACCGGCTTTGGAAGTTCTAAAGAAACCATACGAATCATCTCTTGCTCCAAAGCAAACTGTAGATGGCGTCATCTGTATCCATCTTACTGTTGGGAAAAGAACCAGCACATATATGATGAATTGATTTTGAACAAAAGAATGTGAGTTGGGTAAAAAGAACACACGGCTAGACAGCCAGCCGCTTAGTCAGACAGATGGATAGGAAAACAGGAGGGACAAAAGGGGATTCAGACATCTGGAGGAGCAGACGGAAGAGAGGTTGGCTGAATAGGACTGACAGTTGGATTCATCGAGAGATAACTTAAAGGGTCAGTTAGAGTTTTTCATAAAACTATTTCACCAAATGTAAAATGCTTTTTTACCTACCGTTTCTTTCCTCGCAATTGGTGCCCTTGTATTCAGGTGGGCAAAGGCATCTATAACCTTTGTCTGTAAATCCTGTCTGACAAGTGCCATTATGTTGGCATGGAGTCTGTCCACAAGTGTTCTAATGTGAAAACGAGGTTTAAAAGCAGATATATGCCAATCGAAGTGGTAAGTTGTAATGGTACTATAAAATGAAAACTGAAACGTCACATTAGATCAGATCAACTGACCAACCAGCCAGGCAACAAATCAACCATACAAACCAATTGGAAACAAACATTGCGCAGCCAGCCAAACAACATGCCAGCGAATCAACTTAACATCGAACATTTACGAGCTAAACAACCCAAGGTTGAGCCAACTTTATATACTAATCTACCAAATGACAAGTAATGTTATTCAAAAATCACCAAACGCAGGATAAACGAAAAGCACAGTTAAGAATGATGAATATTTACAGATAAGAATGTACTCACCATTGTTCCTTTATATATGTAGTTTGTCCAAGACTTGAGATCCTGAGGATGTACGTTGCGTGTGGAATTATTTAGTTCGCATTTTGTGATCACTGAAGATCTGCTGGTCACTAATTCGTTATAACTGACGCAGTTGGGTTCCATGTAGCATAGAGTTGAGCAGAAGTCTTGCACAGGGGATTCTACGGTTCGTATCAAGTGGTTTATGAACCGTTTGCCAGGGAAAGCAAGAGAAGATGTAAATTCCATCTTGCGACTGAAATCTTTTGGAAATTGAATCGGATTTGATTAGTACCATTTACGGTTTAGTCTAGACAGGTAAAGAACCAGTTTCGTTTTTGAGGGACTGAGCAAAGCCAATGGAGTAATGAAACTTACGAGTTGTATAACAACATTCCAACATTGATTTTTATTATAAGAAGCCAGTCTGAGTTAAAATATCTGAAATTTTTTGTTTTGGCTGCGAGGGCTTTTTGATATCCTTGAGTTATTGATCTCACTAGTTAGTTCAATTCATGTGGATGAGACATAAATTCCACACTTGCCCTAAACTTTAAACTTTTTCTTAACTACTCGTAGAGAGACTCCCTCAGGGTGATTAGCGTAAAAACAGGAGGAAGAAGAGAAGACCGATGAAGAGTCTTGTTGCCTTTCGATAGCGGGGAATTTGTCACCCACTAGTTTCTCCGGTCCTTGCATTGTAACAGAAATAAACAGGAGTCCGTTTTAATTTTAATCATACAGTAGGAAGACCTGCATTTTTTATGCGTGGGCTGCGATTGGCAACTTAGAATTTGGGTTGTTTTAACAACCCTAAACAAAAAAAAAATGTGTTGTCATTATTTAACAAAAATCAACGCGTCGGCCTTTGGCTGATCGTTCATGTGACATAAAAATTTTTCCAACAATTATCTTAGAATTTTGATAAATAAGTTTAGGCTGGATGGTTTCAAGTCTAGTTAGCTATATAACCTTTATATCTATGGGAAAAACTGAAAATAACGAATATGAAATTGAATGTGCGTCTGACTTAGTTGAACTGTAATGATTTTATGTCAGCTCAGAGGAAATAAGAGTATAACCTTCTTCACCCGCAACTTTGATTATCAATAAAGACAACAGGGCGACCAAGAAGTAAAATTTTCTGGAAGAAGCCATGGTAAAGACTAAATTGAGTGACTGCGTAGGATAATCGCTGGTGACTTCTGAAAAGATTTTTATCACTGTTTACTTCTTTTGTATGCAGAGAGTTCTAATCACACATTGAGGAGATGTGGATTTTCTTTGCGACTTTGTGCTTTGCAGGGCTGCGATAGGCTCAGAATTTAGCTTAGGCGGCACTCGATCTGATTAAGGTAAGTAAAACTCATTGAAAATGTGTCAATTAATATTAGCTCGATCGATTGAACAGCATGCGAAATATTCCGCTATTGAGATAATTGTGAACAGAGTTATTATTGCGCCTCTAGGTTTTAAACATTTTTGACCACATGATGATCGACTAAAGGAACAGGTGTAAATGTTATTCCCAGAAGATCAAAATATATTTTTTTTAACCCTTCCTTTGCCGTCACTGAAGCCAGTGGACATGGAATAAAGGATGTGGCTTGAAGTCATTAATGAGGTGTCTGAAAAAGGAGCAGGTTTAAAGCTTGTCCTCCGCACGTCAAGTTTAAATCGAGAAAAAGGTTCCGTGCTTTTGTTGATGCTCTGTTACTAAGATGAGAACGTCATTTTATTTGTGGACACAGAATTCCTAGTCATATACTTTATTTCCAAGTTCTGATAGCTTTATCAACCTTCAGTAATTCGAGATTATCAATCGCCTTTGCAGATGAAAAGAAATTGAGAAACAACGTCAGTTACTTCCCCTTTAGTTCATTTCTCTAATCTTAGGAGAAAGTTATCTTTCACAAACAAAGATCTGGTCTTTCATATGAACTATTATTTCGGCATCTATTTGAGAGAATCAATAGCACTCTTTATTCATACAAGAGTGTTACTTGAAGTAAATAAATGTTTTCTTTCTGTTAGCTGTTAAGCCTCCTTGACTCTGTTCAAAGCTTTCTACGTGTGAATGAAACGTTTTGGCTCACTTTTGATAGCTTGGAATGCAGTTCTTGCAGCACAGCAGCTTAACTTTGTTGTAACCGCTAGCTAAAGAAAAGAAGATCAATGTCTCCCATAAAATGTCAAGTGTAAACAAGCGCTAGGTAACTTGAATTATGAAAATATCTAAACTCAGCCATAATTGTGTTAATCAAATACGAACTTTTTGATTTTTCATCAAACCTTTCACTCTGACTGCGCGCCTCTTAAAATGCTATAAGTCGGAAACCCATTATTATCACTAATTATTTTGAGTTATAGATGCACGTAGATCTTCTTCAGCTCAAATATTATGGAGGATTAAGTCAGTGGAGGCGAGAGTGATGTTTATCAGTCACATATTTACGCGTGGGTCTTCTCGCAAAGATGTCTGAACGGCTACATAGACTCGTTCATAGACGTACCTTAAAAAAAATAAAACAAAACTAAGGCAAACAAACAAAAGCCGAAGACGTCGCTGCCAAATTTGTAAAGGTCAGCGCTGGAAATTTACATTTAAAAGAAATATTCTATGGTTCTAATTCTAGATGCCATGCCATGATGTTTTTCGTAAATCGTCTAGTAACACTGGTTAAATGTTTTAATCGTGCCAAAGCGGATCAACCTTGGGACTTCACCATTTCACATTATAGGATGGTCACCAAACTAAAAATATTGGAAGTAATGATTATGATGAGAAATAAAATTTGTTAATTTCGTGATAGGCGTCTACCTCGACAGTAATTCATGAGTCCTCTTTTCACGTGGAGTTATATTCCTCAAAGTCAGTCTGCACCACAGTGGCGCAGATCACAAGTACATAGTGGCTGAAAAAGTTTGTAGATATGGTAGGATCTATAGTTTATACTTTAATCTGATCGGTAGCAACAGCCTATACTTTTGTGTGTAAAGCAGACCTTCCTGTCAACTTCCCCATCTTCCATTGCGGGATTAGCACCACTAAACCCTTTAACCCCAAAGATCTGATCGTTAATTCTCCCTTCAAGGTGCTTCACATTTCCTTTTGAATTAGTTTAGAGGGTTTATTTTGGGTATTTTCATTACCTATTTCTTGGATTATGAATGGATTTTGAAGGGAGAAGTAACAGGTTAATTGCCTCTAGGAGTCAAAGGGTTAACCAGCCTGGGTTGGCTTTACCACATTTATAACTATCCACGCAGGTTGTTGGAGTTCTTGTTCCTACAGCTTTCACGAAAAGGTACCAGCCCTCGGAGAGTTGTGTGACACAGAACACTGGACCATTTAGCGGTGTATCGTCAATGGTATTTCTATTGTCGTCACTCTGTTTCATAAAACGGATCAACTACAAATTTAAGTATTAATTTTATAATGATTGTAATTACTGCAATTAAGAATTAATGTTTTAGAAGTTTTTTAAATCTGATAGATTATTATTGCCGGGATATGTTGATAACAAGTCAATTGCATCGTATAATTTTGTCTAAGAGATACCAATTCTTTGAGATTTCTTGAAAAAATCTTTGCTATCAAATAATTGACTAAAAGGAGAATTGATCAACGAACTGTTTCTCTCAGAAATTCGTCGTGATAAATTCAAGATGAAAGCTCATTTAAAAAGCCAATCAAACCTAGATAATATAAGTATATTTAAAAGGTGCTGGAAGGTGATTGATGTATCAAAAAAGGAGACAAGTATCTCAAAAAATCACCTCTCACTTCCTAAAGTTAGGAAATCTCTCCGAAGATTATTGATCATTCACCCGAAGGAACATTGGAATCGTTTTTGTTTTACTGACATCTGAAAAGTGAGAATTCATTGTCTCGTGTAACCTTAAACTGATTACATGTAGAGAATTTGAATAGCAGGCGATAAGAGGGTTTGCCCTGTGGGAAAGTCATGTAGATTGATAAGTGCAGCAGAGACACGTAAACTTCTGATTACTTAGACGTGCTAATTGTCTTAGGCCCAGTGTCAGTTATAACAAAAGCAACCATAGTAGCAGATCACTTCTTCTCTGTTACCGGTCACATACTCACAAATAAGCTTGAAAAGGTTATTAAATCAGGTTTCAAATGGTCGTCATTTCTGACTTCTTTCTTGTGTTGTTTTGTTTTTTGTTAGAAAGGCTTGTATAAGAGCCACCAGCGTAGGCATCATTGAAATTTTACCCATTTCACCCAACACGCTTTCCTACAAGATTTACCTGTTCAGGTATGATTAGGGAATACTATACTCCTACAATTTAAACTATTTTATTAAACAACTTGTAATGATTCTTTCTCAGGAGCTACTCCAATAGGCAATACAGTAATTGTCCTTTAAGCTTACTTGAGCCCACTACATACTATAACTTAGCTCTCTACTGACATCAAAGACTCACTCTTGCTTCAGAATCTCCTCAAAATACGCAATCTTTGAAGAACATCGCAGTACTGAGCAATATTTTGGTAGAGCTTCTAAGATATTCGGTATTTTTCGACAAAAGAACTACTACTCCTAGCTTAGTCTTTATATACATTTACAATGTATTTTAAAACATTCCGTTATTCGAAGCTTACAACACGACTATTTTGATAGAAATAGATCATAACTACCCGAACCAATAGAATGTTTTAGTTTTCCATGCTATGTCATCAGAAAGTTTGAGTATCCATGTTTCAGTGACTAAGAATTCTTGAAATTGTTTTCAAACTTTATCCATAACACACCTAACACGATTTAGAAATTGTTGTAAATGATGACTGAACATAGTAAACAATTGGCTTATAATCACGGGCCGCCGTGACCAATCGTGGAAGGCTTTTCTACATGTAGAGAAGGCGTGGGTATGAAAAGTTGCTTTAGTTTCTAACGACCTGAGTAAACATCAAGAGCTCAGAACGTTTAGTAATAAGCAAAATACAATGCTAAAAGTTTTGCCTAAAACTTACTTAGTGAAGCACTCCGATTGGAAGATATAGAGATGATATTAAGATTATTTGGAAGCTCGCTAATGCCCATAAATATTGACATTAGCTGAGGCAGGGCTGGGGGGTCTGTTCTAATACTCGGATAAACAACAATTGTTCAGTCGCTTCTGATGATGATTTCCGCTTAGGCTATAGAAACGTCAGTCACTATTACTGACTACCTCGAGTCACAACTTCTCAGGAGTACTCTTCCTAGAAAGATCAAACT